TAAAAATGCGTTTGTTTAATTTCGCGATTTTTATCAATAGAAAATCTATCTAGATGAATTCATTTAGATTAGTAAAAAAAATATCTAAGATGACCGTTTAGATACCTTATAACTATTTATCTAGATAAGATAAAAGATGAGCAAAAAAATATCTAGATATTCATCTAGATAAATTTATCTATATAAGTCCGAACACTGGCAATAAAGACCTACTGCAGGCTGCTGCACCCCCTGCAGTGACGGTCGCCGATCCCTTTTCATACACGCACCCTTATAATATAGCAGTTTTCGGCTGAGGTCAGCACGTGCCCTGCACCGTACGCAATAAAATGTCATCGTTAAGACGTTAAACGTTTGTAAATTATTTGTTTTTGTCGCCACATAGTAAAATTTAAATTTAAATTATTTTTAAATTGTTTTACTGTCGTGCCATAAACAATATATAACCAGACAATTAAGATAAAAGCAAAAGTATTTGATTATTGCATGCTGCCAGTGTTCAAAATCGTGAAAAAATAGTGATATATTTATGTCCGTATACAGATAAAAACAAGTAAAAATATTTTAAACATTTTATCGTGTTTATACTTAATGTTGATATAAACATTCAGTGATAATTGTATGTCTATAGGTACAGTCATTTGTATTAGAGTTATAACAAAAACCAATGTCGATTTTATTGAAAGCCTGTATTTCGTGATTCTATAAACATTAATCAAAATTGGAATTGAAACGCTTACAAAAAATTGTATTTATTCAATATTTACTCTATTTTAAATTTGCTTTTGAATACAGCTTATGAGAAAACTTGTATTAGATACCTACATTTTGAAGATTGTTGACCAATCCTAAAAATGTTTATCAACACTAAAAGAATTCGAAAATTTCAAATAATAATGAACAATAAAATGTATAGTTAAAGTATAGAAAATAATAATTTATTATTTAACTATAAGTTTCAAGTTTATACGGTTAATATTTTTTTAATAATAACAGAATGACAAAATCTTTTGTTTATTGTTTCATTTCATTGAACTTCAAACTTCCTACTAATAATATTTATGGATTTAAACATTTGGAAATAGGAATGATGCACTTCGTTTAATGTTTTAACTTTTTTAATCACAAAAAATAATTGTACAAAAATGAATGGTCACCCATTCACTTACGTAACATGAAAAAAACACAGGCTGAGCTGAAGGAATATTTAAATAATCCAACGACCGTCAGAGGTTGTCTCGTGGGTTATAATAGTCATTGAGGAAAATATAATATTTAAATTACAACATTAATAATGATAAAATAAATTATTTTTTTAGACAAATTCCCTGTACCTACCCATCCTTATATCTTGTTTTACCCACTACAAATTATATAAATAACAACATATTTAACAATTGCGCGTAGATTTACGACTTAGTTTTTGATATTTTGATAAATTTTGTCAAAATATGAACGTTAAATTAAATTGTAGGTAAATAATCTGTGTTTATACTTTATAATTCTAACGATTGACGATTAATATTTAATACGTCAAGACATCTAGTATTGTATAGGTATCGACAACTTTCTGAATTTGATAATTTTATGGAACACCCACAATAACTGTTGTCAAACTATGTAATGTATGAATCTATGGAAGGCTATACTACTTCAATAATTAGTATTTAAAATAACGAATAGTATAGTATAGTACGTTATTATAGTCCAGGGCTGAGGACTTCTAGTTTTTTTCATATTTGTCTATAAAAAGTCGTAGAACAATGTGAGTGATGTATAAATATGTTTCATTATACTAGTAAGTTACAATGAAAATTTTATTTTGCATATTTTTGCATATTTTGTGGTTATTGCACATAAATGCATATTTCAGCATATTAGAAAAAATCAGAACATCTTTTAGTCAGTAATAAAAATAAATAAATAAAGTCAGTTTGGACAAATAAGAAAATATTTTGAAAAATTTTAAGTAGGTATTAAATGTTGGTCATTGACAAAATATGAGCATATTATTGTGTATACATTTGGAAAATTGAATATTTAAAAATACACTAATCAGTAATCAGTATATATGAGTTTAAATTATATTTTATAAACGAAGGTTATATTGATTTATGATACATCCAAGTCTGCAAGTCTTTAATTTGTTGCTGATGATAATTCTATTGTTGAAATTGTGTGAGTATGTATTATTATAATTTCATACCTGGGTGATGTTATGTAGGTACTTGGTTAAACGATGATGGATTTTAAGATGAGAGTTTGATGATGTTGGCTTTCTCGAAATAACGCAAGTACAATAATTATGATATGAGTAAAAGTTATTTTAATAATTCACAACAAGATATAAAATTTGAATGAGTACGTTAAATTAATAATCGCTGTATAATTTTGGTAGAGAAATAAGATGTGTTTATTAGATATTGTATTGTCATTTGTTTTCACAGTGAGTATGAATGTTGTTGTTGTGTATAATTTTGGGTAATATAATTGGTACCTACATGGGTACAGATATTTATTGTGGTATTTTGTTAATGAAATATTTAATAGTATTATGATGATATTGAATCATGAACCTATGTTGGTGAAATAATGTAGATATCATTACAGTACTCCAGGATCAGTCGTCTTGGGATCATCTTTTATTTCTTATTTACATAAAATATCGTCTAATTAATCTAAAAATGTTTTTTTTTAATTCATCACAACCAGGTATTGTAACAACCAGGGTCAGGAATGGTATTCTATAAATTGTGGGGTGGGGTAACTCACTACTAAGTACTAAGTACTATACCATGATAAAAAAAACCCTTAACCCCCAACTCGTAAAGGGGGAGTACTTGGCATGGAGGTCAGTGAAACGTGTCTACGAGGACCCTGTGGAAGACTAGGCAACCTTCCACAGTCGCTTATTTTGGCAGCCTTCATTGCGGTACGCTGCACTGCCGCAGTGCGACTTTTATATCATGCATACTCGTGGGAATCATATGGAGAACCTCAAAAACCAAACCGACTTGATTCAATGGACAAAACAAACGCATCGGAAAACAGCAACAATGGAGAATATGGAAAACTTAAAAACAAATATGGCATTAGGAACACCCTCCAGAAAGCGGGGTTGTCTACTTCTACTGAAAAGGTAAATTTTTCTCGAAGTTACGATTTACAATATTTAAAACACAATTTTTCTTCTAAATAAGTAGATGTTTATTGTGTATGCAAACTTAAATTTTATTTTTAAATTATGATATTCTATACACTATATACACATAATATTATATATTATACATCATGGAGTATAAGAAAAATTATGTCTGAAAGTCGAAGACACTATATTAATAAAAATCAATCTGGACTTATTTAAGGCCCTTGCATATACCGGAAAGAACGTAGCTGTAGCTACCAACAAGACCTTACCTGACTCCAAGCGAAAGCGATCATCTTATGAAGATGATGACCATCATAATAGAAATGGTCTCGAACCTCAACATCCGCATTCAATATCCATCATGTAATTAGTAAGTAATATACACGTCAACCACCCAAAGACATAATAACGAAATATACCTATACCTATACCTAATCTATACTTTCGATATCAGTGCTTCACTATTTTAGAGTCTAACCAGAGCGATGATTGTATTGATTTTTTCATGGTGTACGCAGTGTTGAAAATAGATACAAAAAAAACATTTAATTTTGATAAGATACAGATAATTATATATCTATTTATTAAGAATTCTGGCTATATACCAGTTATCTATGTAATACAGTAGATAAAACTAATTTTTATTATATTTAAATAATAAATATACAACAATGTATACACAGTACACATAATAATATTTTCAAATGCAAATTTTCACCAAAAATTAATTTTACCTCCTGTAATTCCCACCATAATGTCAAATAGTTAAATAAATTACATAAATCACAATAAAATCATAAAATATACTTAGTAATTGGTATATAAATATACATAGACTGACAGACAGTCTTTGTACAGATTTGTTTTGCGTAGGTATATATACACTGATTTTATACCCCATTGAATTCAAATTTAACGCATCCGTTCCAGCAACCTGTTGTACAGCAGAGCGAGTTCCTGGGGGGCTTTTTTTTTTAATAACATCACACAACTATTAGAACCATGATTAGTTGTTTTTTTGTTGGAGGGGGGCCTACCACGTATCTAGCAAGTAAATTTTTTGGAGTTACGATCATAGAAATAAATAGTTATGTAGATATGTATGTCATGGTCCAAGTAGAAAAATGGCCATTGTATACATTGTATACAAGGGTGGCGAACCTATAGCAGAAGTGGCACGTTGACCAAATTTCAGTGGCACGCAAATATAATGTATCTTAAAAAAAAATATTATATTTTAAAACTTTAGTGTTCTAAAGAATCAACGAGTCGAAACTTTCAAGAATGGTGGACATTCAAATATGGTATGATATTCAAAAATCATAAAGCGTTATGTGTATTGTGTTCAGAAAGTGTTGTATGTCGGACTTCATCTGTGTTGAGCAAAATATTATCTAGATCAGGGGTGGCGAACCTATGGCACTCGTGCCAGAAGTGGCACGTTGACCAAATTTCAGTGGCACGCAAATATTATTTATCTTAAAAAAAAATATTATATTTTAAAACTTTAGTATGAGAAATTTGAAGAATCAAATTTATAAGCTTGTAATAAAATGTGTTTATAAATGTTATAATAAATAATATTTATGATTTTAGTACTCTTATATAGAAGTACAAAGTACCCAACATTCGATTACGAAGTTTATTTCAAATTCACCGATACCGCGACCGGTTGCGATAACAACAATTGCACATTTGTCAGCCGTTCTAACGAACTTATAATTTAGATACCCGTCGGCCATCGTCAACTATCGTGATAATTGTTAAATAAATAAATACGAGTATTTTATTATATGTCACTTTCAAAAAAAATGAAATGTTCTGAAGAATCAAAGAGTTGAAACTTTCAAGAATGGTGGACATTCAAAAATTCAAATATGGTATGATGTTCAAAAATAACCAAGCGTTATGTGTACTGTGTTTAGAAAGTGTTGTATGTCGGACTTCATCTGTCAAACGTCATTTTGAAACTAGTCATAAAACACTGTTTACAAAATCTGCCGATGAACTAAAATGTTTTATTTCACGTGCACTATCAAATAAAGATGCACAAAATGATAAATTAAAAAAATTTGTTAAAAAATCTGATAATTTAGTGTCTGCCAGTTTTGATGTTGCAAAGTCTATCGCTGTTCGGGGAAAACCGTTTAGTGATGGAGATTTTATTAAAATTCGCCAAACACGTTTAATACATTAGTTGAAGTAAAGATATAATAATCTTGGTTAATTTGATGCACTTTAAAAATATTATTTGCTGGTTATTGAAACTTTTAAAATATATTATTATATTCTATACAGTATACACAATAACATTTTCAAATGCAATTTTTGATTAAACCTTACAGACATACTAACTGAGTATATGATTTATTTGTGTTAATTGATGATAAGCTATCATCTATTGTCTAAAAAAATGTCTCAAACTATGTTCAGACGCATTGGAATCACTATTAAGTATATATTATAAATAATAATAATAATAAGAGTTAAAAATTAAAATATATATTGTCAACTAAGTTATGAACAAAAATATACAAAAACTCACTAAACTTCATTTTACCATTCAATTACTTTCGACGATGACGTTATAGGCGTAATCACGTAAATAAATATTATAATTATTTACGATAATGATGAAATATCATGATATAATCATTTTTAAATTATATGTTCAAACGTCCGAACATAAGTAAATATATTAATTGATATTATATTATTAGATAAAAGTATCTGACAGCTAGAATTGCATTTGTCATTAATATTATATTGACATTTGGTCATTATCAAACGCATTAAAAAGTTAATAATTTAGAAAAATTAAATATTAATCAAAATAATATACTCATTATAATAAAATATAATTAGTCTCTATATAATATCAATTATAATATAATAATAATATAATTGCATGTAACAAACAATATTCAATACCCCGCGCGTTATCGAATACATTTTACTGACCAGTACTTCAGAGTACACCATCGAATGTAAGACTTCGAGATAGAAAAAACGATTTTGTTGTACGTTATATACAATGTTTCGACAATCATTTATTTTCCGTGTTTATTTGAATAATTTTTTGGTAAATTGGCCAACAATAGTACAAAATATTATACACTATATGATATAACAACATACCCATTTTAAAATAAATTATTATCCTACTCGGGTGACGCGTAAGAAGCTTGATTTTCGATATTTCATTCTCAAAATCGATAAAATCGTTTTGCATTTTCACTTTTTTACATGTCAATAATTGGTATAAAAAATTAAAATATCGAAAATCGAGCTTCTAACGTCACCCTATATAATTCTTCTCTACAACTTTTAATAAAGGTATTTTGCTCTAAAACCATTCAGTAAGCCGTATTATTGGAACAAAATTGGCATCTTTTTGTACGGTATATTTGCCCGTGTGGCGTCCTCTTAAACGTATATTATATACCAAGTAATAAGATACTGGATAGGATGAAAACATTTAAATTTTATTATAATTTATAGCCCAAATTTTCTGCTTGGCCCAATGTTTATATTATGTATTTATGAAATGAAATAAAATAATAAATAATACTTAAATTAAATAATTATCAACATTGTTTTTAATGTGAGATTGAAAATTGTATTATTCTGTAAAGTAATATCATAATTTAATAAATCCGCATTTTATTGACGAGCATTGAGTACTGCCGTATAACATAATATAGGTTTTCAAAATATGTGTCTAAAATAACAATGACGTTTTATATATATACGTTTACTGAATATGTGTATTTTTTATTTTATATGATTTTGCTTATAATTTATATATAATATAAACTAACCTAGTTATACTGCGATTGTAAACACTGTCAGAATACCGGGTAATTTTAACTCCTCCACTTTTGATGAATGAAAAAATAATTATTGGTTTAGAGAAAGATATACATACTAGATACTTACAATAGTGGATTTAAATTAGACTTAATGGTTTAAATTTCTACAAATTGTATCTCATAATTTTAGTTTACAGTTCAAATTATTCTAAGCATTATAACATAATATAATGTCATAATCTATATATATAAAAATGAATGTATGTCAGTGTGTGTGTCTGTGTGTCCATGTTACCATGGTTGCCATGGTTACTAAGGTTACCAAGATTTCATATCAATCTATATATATAAAAATGAATGTATGTCAGTGTGTGTGTGTGTGTGTGTGTGTGTGTCCATATTACCATGGCAACCATATCTGTATATAAAAAACAGTAAGCTGATTGACTGCTATCAACGCACAGCTCAAACCATTGGACGGATCTGGCTGAAATTTGGCATACAGATAGCTATTATAATATAGACGTGCGCTAAGAAAGGATTTGCCAAAATTCGCATTTTAAATAGGTGCTGAAACAGGGACATTGAGATTCACGATAGAAATTGGAAATTTTATTTTTATTTATTTATAGTTGCCATTGGTTACAGTCTACATTAGAAATTAGCATTTATTTATTGGTTGCCATTGGTTATTCGGGCAGATCAGGTACAAGCTTGCATCAAATCGAATTATTGAACAATGCTTACCAGGGTGGCAGAGTTGCACTTACCGCAGAAGGAGTTCAACAATCATAATTTTTTTAAGAGTTGCGATTTTTTACGAGCAACCAAATTTATTATATTAATCCACAGTATTACATCAAAATAAACTTGGTATAACTTTGATACTTTAGAGTTAAATCATACACTTCCGTACAAACAGCACGGGATCCGCGATCTACCGCAGGTAGATTGCCTACCTGATAATGTACTGCTGCGATTCAGAATTTTTATTCGGGGCAACGGGAAAGATAAGATAAATTTTGAACACCATACACCGAATATTGAATAATGAATTGAACAAAGTTTGAGTAGGTAGTATTGAGTTGATCCATTTAACGGGCGACGAAGTGCACGGGATCAGCTAGTAATATAATATAGGTAATTTTAACTCCTCCACTTTTGATGAATGAAAAAATAATTATTGGTTTAGAGAAAGATATACATACTAGATACTTACAATAGTGGATTTAAATTAGACTTTATTTTTTAAATTTCTACAAATTGTATCTCATAATTTTAGTTTACAGTTCAAATTATTCTAAGCATTATAACATAATATAATGTCATAATAATATAATATATCTACATATTTTTTAATTACTAGTTATTACAAGTGTCTATCATTATTTTTTAACATAATACTGGCCATTGCAATAATTTGTATGATAATATGTTCGAACAGTTATTATTTTTATTTTTAAGTTTTTTATATTTTGTGGCATATACTTATTTAATAAGAATAGTTATTATTATAAAATTATTATTTTTTGTTTGATAAATTATCTGTATATTATATTAATTGTATAGTGTATACTATTACTTGATTTTTTTCACTGGCGGAGTTTACATGGACCACATTTATGATATATCTACACTTCTTAAAGACGTATTTATATGTCATTGATAAAAGTATGGTGATAAAATTATAAAAGTGTGACTTAAATATCATTATTAACTAGTCATAATTGCTTTAAAATTGGGTTTTTTTTTCAATTTTCCGAATATAAGTAAATATATTAATTGATATTATATTATTAGATAAAAGTATCTGACAGCTAGAATTTTATTTGTCATTAATATTATATTGACATTTGGTCATTATCAAACGCATTAAAAAGTTAATAATTTAGAAAAATTACAAATGTATCAAAATAATATACCCATTATAATAAAATATAATTAGTCTCTATATAATATCAATTATAATATAATAATAATATAATTGCGTGTAACAAACAATATTCAATACCCCGCGCGTTATCGAATACATTTTACTGACCAGTAGGAGTGGTACGCCATCGAATGTAAGCCTTCGAGATAGAAGAAATTATTTTGTTGTACGTTATATACAATGTTTCGACAATCATTTTTTTCCCGTGTTTATTTGAATAGTTTTTTGAATTTGTTCTTATAAATATATAACGCCATTCTACTACGTTAAGTCAAAAGATCGACGGACTTTGGTATTCGACATTTGACATTCGTCAAGCGAAACTCATTTTGAAACTATTCATATAACACTGTTAACAAAATCTGCCGATGAACTAAAATGTTTTATTTCACGTGCATTATCAAATAAAGATGCACAAAGTGATAAGTAATTAAATTTGTTAAAAAATCTGATAATTTAGTGTCTGCCAGTTTTGATGTTGCAAAGTCTATCGCTGTTCGGGGAAAACCGTTTAGTCATGGAGATTTTACTAAAAATCCCTTCCAAACACATTTAATACATTAAAAAAAGTTGCTCAATCCGTCCCATCAATTTTTTCGTCAACTTACGCTTGTGAAAGTTTATTCTCCATAGTGAATTTAATAAAAACGAAGCAGAGAAATACATTAATCGATGCAAATAGTGCTACTTGTGTTTCCCTAAAAACTACCAACTATACTCCAGATATTAAAATGTTATCTTCTAAAAAACAACAACAGAAATCACATTAATAAATGAAATAAAACTTTACATATATACTATTTATTTATTAAATTATATACCTAATGAAATGTGTGTAATTATTGCATGCTTTTTCTTTTCATCTTACCTAGTAAAATTCATTTTTTTTTTTTGCACGCGAACATATTTCAAAAATCTTGATTTTAAATTTTAGCACTTGACCCAAAAAAGGTTCGCCACCCCTGATCCAGATAATTATTTAAATAATTCGTAAAAAATATTATTCGTAAAATTTTCAAATATGACAATTCAAATTATTTTTTTTACAATTATTCGAATAAAAATGTAATTGAATAATTTAAAAACATTCTTATACAAAATACAAATATATTCGAATTCTTTAGATAGTTTTATATTTGTTTCATTTAAAGTATTTTTCTATTTATTTCAAATAAATGAAGATTTACGATCGTAAACTTAAAATACAATGCTAACTATTGTTTTTTAATACTTAAATGTTTTAATTACCAAAATATTAACCATATATCCATATTATATTAATTAAGATAAAATAACTGAAAATTATTTGAATAACTATGTTTAAAAATTAGTCGAATCATTTGTTATTCAAATAATATTGTTTTCGAATTATTCGAATAATATTATTTTGAATTATTCGAATGATTGTGAAATAATAATTTTAATAATTTTTTATTCGAATACAATATTATCTAAATAAAATTGTATTTAAATTTTGAATGATGATGCCCAACTCTGATTTCAATATTAATTGTTATACATGTCGATCCCACAATTAATTGGGGCCTGTTTTATAGAAATTGGTGAATCTCTATGTACTTATACCTAGATTTCCTAGGTTTTTCCTTAGGGGTGTTTTCTTTAAATAAATTTAATTTTTGACAGTTAAACAAACAAAGCCAAATATACTGAAAAATATAAAAAAGCAACAATATTTTCATATTATTAAATGAAATTTTATATTTAAAAAAATTAAATTTATGACCATAGTGTTATTGATATTGTTGCATTATCATTATTTGTTCATACTAATTACACATGATCTAAATTTACTTTATCTTATTGTTGTAGATATATGGTCATAGTACTTCAAATATAATTATTGGACACAGAAGATAAAAAGCAAAAAAAAAAATGGACTTTAAGAAGGTCATTTGTCAAATGCTGCTGTTGTTATTTACCATACAAATTTCTACCACGTTTGGTAACCATGAGGAAGATTTGTTTAAATTAACACCAACCAGCGATAGCCCGGGTTCGCAGTACGAACTCGTAGGTAATGGTAGAACTTGCGGAAGTAGTTGGTCAATAAATACATATATGGATTTAAAATTTTTAAATAACAGTCTTAGAAATATTAGGAAAATGATAAAATCAATTGAACTAATTGCGTTCAAAGATATATCTATAACTTTGTATCAGTTAAAAAAAGCCTGATTCCGAGTGGATAATTATATACATACACGATAGATGGGGTCGGATCATTGTTTCTTATTATCCGTACATTTTGTAATTCTACTAAAACTAAAACTGCTATTCTTTCACTCCGTAATAACTTCATTGTCAATATCATATCTAGACATCATGCCGAACGATAATGTACCAAATAGTTATGACAAGTCAACTATTGTTCAATCTGAACCGGATTTAGTGACTAGTACAATAAGTCACCATCGTCTGAGAGTACCGCGTACGCACGTACCACCTGAGGATATCGACAAAAAGATTAAACAAGTAACAAAAGATAATTATTATTTCATTCAGTATTTATTAATATATTATAATTTTTACATGGAAAGTATGGAAAACCACCCATTTCTGGATCGAAGTACGTACTCTATGTCAAGGGAGACAGTAATTTTCCCCTTTCACTCCCTAAAGCAGCGGGGACAAAAATAAAAAGAGAATTGACTGAGGCCAGCAACAGAAAACTTAAAAAAGTGATAAAGATAAATTATTATTTTTTTCAGTATGTATTTATTAATAAATTGTAATTTTAATAGGAAAAGCATGAACAACTATCCAACGTATGTTCAACGAATCAACGTGATGTTGCGGAAGACGGTAATGTCTCTCCTTACTTCTCACAACCCCTCCCCAAACACATCGTCCAATTAGAGGTAGTGTTCAGTGGGTCAGTGGGACACTGCTATCTCCAAGGAGAAATCAAAATTATTCAAGCAAAGTGCTGCATTTTAAGTGTGAACAGGAAATGATCTGGTGTGTTTAATTTTGATCCACTGCATGTTGCATGTTTATATTTGTGTTCTTTTGAGTATATTAATCAAACATAGTATGTACAGATACCAAGTACCAATAGTATATCATACCACAATATTACATTTATTTGTTGAGAGTATATATCAAACAGCTTTAACCTTTTAAGGAACGAACTAAAAATACTCAGGCATTACTCAGAGAGCAGATTACGAATGGAAAATTGAAAAGAAAAACCCAATTTCAAAGCAATTATGACTAGTTAATAATGATATTTAAGTCACACTTTTATAATTTTATCACCATACTTTTATCGATGACATATAATTACGTCTTTAAGAAGTGTAGATATATCATAAATGTGGTCCATGTAAACTCCGCCAGTGAAAAAAATCAAGTAATAGTATACACTATACAATTAATATAATATACAGATAATTTAACAAACAAAAAATAATAATTTTATAATAATAACTATTCTTATTAAATAAGTATATGCCACAAAATATAAAAAAACTTAAAAATAAAAATAATAACTGTTCGAACATATCATACAAATTATTGCGGTGGCCAGTATTATGTTAAAAAATAATGATAGACAGTTGTAATAACTAGTAATTAAAAAGTATGTAGATATATTATATTATTATGACATTATATTATGTTATAATGCTTAGAATAATTTGAACTGTAAACTAAAATTATGAGATACAATTTGTAGAAATTTAAACCATTAAGTCTAATTTAAATCCACTATTGTAAGTATCTAGTATGTATATCTTTCTCTAAACCAATAATTATTTTTTCATTCATCAAAAGTGGAGGAGTTAAAATTACCCGGTATTCTGACAGTGTTTACAATCGCAGTATAACTAGGTTAGTTTATATTATATATAAATTATAAGCAAAATCATATAAAATAAAAAATACACATATTCAGTAAACGTATATATATAAAACGTCATTGTTATTTTAGACACATATTTTGAAAACCTATATTATGTTATACGGCAGTACTCAATGCTCGTCAATAAAATGCGGATTTATTAAATTATGATATTACTTTACAGAATAATACAATTTTCAATCTCACATTAAAAACAATGTTGATAATTATTTAATTTAAGTATTATTTATTATTTTATTTTATTTCATAAATACATATAAACATTGGGCCAAGCAGAAAATTTGGGCTATAAATTATAATAAAATTTAAATGTTTTCATCCTATCTAGTATCTTATTACTTGGTATATAATATACGTTTAAGAGGACGCCACACGGGCAAATATACCGTACAAAAAGATGCCAATTTTGTTCCAATAATACGGCTTACTGAATGGTTTTAGAGCAAAATACCTTCATTAAAAGTTGTAGAGAAGAATTATGTAGGGCAGGGGTGGTGAACCTTTTTTGGGTCAAGTGCCAAAATTTAAAATCAAGTTTTTTGAAATATGTTCGCGTGCCAAAAAAAAAATGAATTTTACTAGGTAAGATGAAAAGAAAAAGCATGCAATAATTACACACATTCTATTAGGTATATAATTTAATAAATAAATAGTATATATGTAAAGTAATATTTCATTTATTAATGTGATTTCTGTTGTTGTTTTTTAGAAGATAACATTTTAATATCTGGAGTATAGTTGGTAGTTTTTAGTGAAACACAAGCAGCACTATTTTCATCGATTAATGTATTTCTCTGCTTAGTTTTTATTAAATTCATTATGGAGAATAAACTTTCACAAGCATAAGTTGACGAAAAAATTGATGGGACGGATTGAGCAACTTTTTTAAATGTATTAAATGTGTTTGGAAGCGAATTTTAATAAAATCTCCATCACTAAACGGTTTTCCCCGAACAGCGATAGACTTTGCAACATCAAAACTGGCAGACACTAAATTATCAGATTTTTTAACAAATTTAATTAATTTATCACTTTGTGCATCTTTATTTGATAATGCACGTGAAATAAAACATTTTAGTTCATCGGCAGATTTTGTTAACAGTGTTTTATGAATAGTTTCAAAATGAGTTTCACTTGACGAATGTCAAATGTCGAATAGGTACCAAAGTCCGTCGATCTTTTGACTTAACGTAGTAGAATGGCGTTATATATTTATAAGAACAAATTCAAAAAACTATTCAAATAAACACGAGAAATAAATGATTGTCGAAACATTGTATAGAACGTACAACAAAATCATTTCTTCTATCTCGAAGGCTTACATTCGATGGCGTACTCTGAAGTACTGGTCAGTAAAATGTATTCGATAACGCGCGGGGTATTGAATATTGTTTGTTACACGCAATTATATCATTATTATATTATAATTGATATTATATAGAGAATAATTATATTTGATTATAATGATTAATGAGTATATTATTTTGATAAATTTTTAATTTTTCTAAATTATTAACTTTTTAATGCGTTTGATAATGACTAAATGTCAATATAATATTAATGACAAATACAATTCTAGCTGTCAGATACTTTTATCTAATAATATAATATTAATTAATATATCTACTTATATTCGGACGTTTGAACATATAATTTAAAAATGATTATATCATGATATTTCATCTTTATCGTAAATAATTATAATATTTATTATGCGTATAACGTCATCGTCGAAAGTAATTGAATGGTAAAATGAAGTTTAGTGAGTTTTTGTATATTTTTGTTCATAACTTAGTTGACAATATATATTTTAATTTTTAACTCTTATTATTATTATTATTTATAATATATACTTTATAGTGATTCCAATGCGTCTGAACATAGTTTCAGTATTCAGACAATAGATGATGGCTTATCATCAATTAACACAAATAAATCATATACTAAGTTAGTATGTCAGTAAGGTTAAATCAAAAATTGCATTTGAAAATGTTATTGTGTATACTGTATGAAATATAATAATATGTTTTAAATGTTTCAATAACCCGCAAATAATATTTTTAAAGTGCAACAAATTAACCAAAATTATTATATCTTTACTTCAACTAATTACGTCCAAATTTGAACTTAAAAAATCTATAAAAAAAAAAGTGTCTTTATGTCTTTTATATTTTTGAACTCCAATTATAACAACTTAAGAGGAACATAGTTTTTAATTTTCAATTCTTAGCTTTAAAAATTGAATATTTTATACATTTTTAACTATAAAATATTTTGTACATTTTTTATTTGATAAATGTTGTCAACATTTGAACTCTATAATATGCTTATAATAAAATCGTGGCTTTTATTTTTAATATTTAGAAACTGTTATTGTAACAATGTATAAGATGAGGAGCCTTGTACTAAATTTTAAAGCTTTTTAACACAACGAATAAAAAAAAACAAAAGCTAGAAAAAAGTCTGTAAATAGCTATAAAAACAACAAATAAAAATATTTTGAACGTTTATCATGTTTAGAAAATGATAAATAAACATACTTAAAATTATCTATGATTGTTCGTCTTTGAATAAAAAAAAATAAAAAAAATCGTATGCCAATTTGTTAATTGACGTGTAAATATTACTTTAGATACTTATATTCGGACGTTTGAACATATAATTTAAAAATGATTATATCATGATTTCATCTTTATCGTAAATAATTATAATATTTATTTACGTGATTACGCCTATAACGTCATCGTTGAAAGTAATTGAATGGTAAAATGAAGTTTAGTGAGTTTTTGTATATTTTTGTTCATAACTTAGTTGACAATAGGTATATATTTTAATTTTTAACTCTTATTATTATTATTATTTATAATATATATTGTATAGTGATTCCAATGCGTCTGAACATATTTTGAGTATTCGGACAATAGATGATGGCTTATCATCAATTAACACAAATAAATCATATACTCAGTTAGTATGTCAGTAAGGTTAAATCAAAAATTGCATTTCAAATGTTATTGTGTATACTGTATAGAATATAATAATATATTTTAAAAGTTTCAATAACCCGCAAATAATATTTTTAAAGTGCAATAAATTAACCAAAATTATTATATCTTTACTTCAACTAATTACGTCCAAATTTGAACTTAAAAAATCTATAAAAAAAAAAAGTGTCTTTATGTCTTTTATATTTTTGGACTCCAATTATAACAACTTAAGAGGAACATAGTTTTTAATTTTCAATTCTTAGCTTTAAAAAATGAATATTTTATACATTTTTAACTACAAAATATTTCGTACATTTTTTATTTGA